ATGCTGTTGATAAAAACATCCAACACTGCTGAACGATATCACAAAAATACAAGAAAGAATCTCAAGGTAACAACTTTATTCAAGCTGCCTAGAATATCCATGTGCCATATTGTAAGGAAACACACACACACACACATATATGATACACTCGGCCATTCACCAGGAAGGAGTTCAAAACATAAATTTGGAACAGCAACCAATAAGCAGTATCAAACACTGCCAAAACATGCAATATAGAAGGCAAAAGCACTGTTAAAGCAATTAAAAAGATTACAATTATAAGCAGACAAATGAGAAATAAAGTGACTAGGAAACAATTAAAATGTCTCGAATACTAACCTTAGACAGCCTTGGATTGCTTTCAAGAACACATTTCAAACCATAATCAGTGATCTTCCTGCAATCAACTAAACTCAAGCATTGAAGAGAACCTTGGGCCCTATTAGTTAATTTCACAAGAGTAACATCTGTAATCATCTCATTAAATGGTTGATCAACATGAATGCTCCTCCATAGAAGAAGATCGCCTCTAATTGCATCACGGAAGGACCTACACACACCTTCAACAGCAAGGAGGTCCCTAACACCAAGATAACCAAGAGCTAAAAACATCCCATCATGTGGAGCCCCTGCTTCCTGCAATCCCTCAGCTTTACCGTCGAAAACAGAATCCAAGAAATTAGATTTATTATCTGTCACAATTCCATTGAATATGCCATTATTATATGGTTTGTAACTATCTTCCATGTTGAACCCCATTGGGATGTTGTAAACCCAATTTATACCCTCAATCATCGGCTGAATAACATTCTTTTCATCGGCATGTTGCATTCCAAAACCACAAAAATCAGAACCCCAATCCTCCCCAAAGTCTTGAACAAAACCAAGCGCTGCCAACGTAGACTTTATCTCCATCCCAAATGGATCTTCAGGCAATTTCTCTAGGATATCATCCCCAACAACCTCACCACCATAGCCTTTTGATTCACGGTTGCCATTAACACCAAAAAGGGTATTCTCCAAATCCCAATTAAACCTCCATAAACTCCCATACTCACCCAAATTCACAGCCATTCTTTTGATCACAAAATCAAACCCTTTTACCAAGAAAATCACAATACGCCAAGAACCCTTCTTTTTAACCAGATAGAAAAAAGTAATTTATCCCAATTAAAGCCAAACCAATCACCAAGAGGGAATTGCAAACCAAAAAGGAAAACCCTCAATTTCAGGTGCCACAGAAGATTGAAAAAACAAACAGGACACCCAGATATTACCCAAAAGAAAACCTGAAACCCAATATTCAATAAGAATCAATAAACCCAGAGCTGAATTAACAACCGAAACCCCTTTATCCCCACAAGAACAATGAAGATTGAAAACACTAAAAAAAGGGTTCCAGAAGGGGAATGCAATTATCGACGACGGAGGAGTATGGGATTGAAGAGCAATCTGGGTTTCGAGAATCAAACGCAGATGACGAATATCATCTCTTGACCCAAACCCATGCAAAGCAACGCAGAGAAAGAGAGATAGAAAAAGAAGAAAAATTTTCAAAGGTGAAAAGGAAAAAGCAGAGAAGAAGAAGAAGAAGAAGAAGAAGAAGAGTTGCACTAAAAATAGGAGAGGAAGAAACAAAACCAAGTTCCTGACTAGCTGGGAATTGCTTCTGCTTTTTGTAGGGTGAGATTTCAACAAAATTAATTTAATTACTTAATTTACTTAATCTTTTATACGGTAAATAAATAAATACAAAATTACAATTAATTAATTTTGCTTTTTTAAACATGAATCTAAAAATTTTACCATCATTCTTCTTTAAAAAATATATATTAAAAAAAACACTAAAATATCTTTCAACTAGTAACTTAAATAAAATTAACAAGTTTTATAAATTAATTAAATTTTCAATTTTATGTATTAATTTTAAAATTTTATATTTAATAAGTTTGTATTTTAATTTTAATTTTTTATTTTAACTGTTCAAATTTTGACACCTAAGATTAAAAACTAAAAACTAAAATTATAGTAAATGGTATCTACATTATTTGAATTACTTCATCACATCCTCTTCAAAAAATTAGATTATAATGAATATGACAAAAAGCAAGGTAATTATAAAGATTTAACTTTTTAATAAGCCATGACTATTAACTTGACTAGATTATTGTTGATATTATAATTAATTAATTAATTAATTAAGTCACAAAACAATTTATTTGTAAATTTCCTAACTTAAGAGATTATGTTGTAATTAATTTGGGGTTGCATTTTTTATATGAACTATGAAATATTAGGTTGCTTTTGGGTTTGGAGGAAGAAGGCAAGGCAAGGTAAGTTGGTGACTGGTGAACTCATTCCCTTCATACACCCAAGGTTGTATGTGTATTTTGGGGGACAGATTTCTAGGAAGTCTGTTTTTTTCCTCTCTTTTTTTTTTTTTGTTTTTTGTTTTTTTTCATAACAAAGAGATAATTTTTTCTCATCTTATACCTTAATTCACCCGCATGTCATATGATTTAAATTCAAAATCTCTTATTTTTAATAGAAGGAGATTATCACTAAAGTATTTAGATCGTTGATAATTTCTAGGAAGTTTTGAAATAAATAAAATGCAAATTATTTGAATTTTAATAGGACTATAAAGGAAACTTTAAGAGGGGTTTTTCGAATTTAATGATAGAAAGAAATGTGAAGCTTCCAATAAATAAATGGCAGAAATATTTAGTAGTATTAAAAGAAAAAGAAAAAAACTTCCCAATTTAAATTTGTTATTTACTTTAAAATTTATAACAGTAAAAGGCTTCTTTTGCACCAAATATCAATTTGGATTAGGAATGTAGGAAGCTCCTAAGAAATTTGTATTTTAAGTCTACTTATTTTAATACTAGAAAACTTAAATAGTATATTTACTATCGTTATTAAAATCATTTTTAAGGGCTATTAATATAATAAATTGAAATTATCAATTAATAATTTCATATAATCTGATGATTTATAATTATTATTTTTAATTTTAAATTATTATCTAAACACTTTTATTTATTAAATTAGATGAAATCACTTGATATTAATTTCAAATCACTATATCAAATAATCTTTTAAAAGTTAAGCCAAAGAAATTAGGTTATGGTTATTCCCATGCAACACTGTTAAAACCAGACAAAATATTTGTTTGACAATTAGAAATTATTGATAATTATAATTGTTTAAATTAATAAAACACTTGTATGTATTATTTAATATAATAAAATTAATTTATAAATTGATATTTTGAAATACTATAACTATTTATCTTTTTTAAAAAAAAATATTATACTATCATTAATAAAATTAATCAAAGCAAACACATTTATTGTATTATTATGACCTTAACAAAAATCTATATAGCAATGATGAAGCCCAAAGAAATTGCTTACAAAAATTGTTTTCTAAAACCATCTGACATTTGTTAATGACCTAAATAATCAGTGATAATCTCCTTTCGTTGGAAGTAAGAGATTTTGAATTCGAATTGCATGGCATACGGGTGGAGTGGGATAAGATATGAGAGATGATTGTATCCCGTTGTGCAACCAAAAAAAAAAAAAAACACCATCCAACAATTATGTATGTTGAAATTGACATTTTATCTGCTATAAACTATAGTCCATTCTCAAATAATGTTACAATCCCACATTATTAGAAAAAAAAAAAATTGTCACAATCTTCCCAAAGCATCATTAGATTAAAAACCAGTTTGCACCTCTTTTTAACTCCTTTTTCCTCAACTCATTACCAATATGCAATGGACCAAATAGAAATCTACTTTCTGACGCAGATACCTTAAGATTACATGTACACTTTGCACAAAATGCCCCACTAAAGTATCAAATGAATTTGGAAGATTATTTTGTCTTTTCTTGCTCCTACTCCCAACTACTTGGGTTGTTTCATTATGAATATATAAAGCAGGAACTTATCATTATCATATGTTTTTTCAATTAATCTTTATTACTTGTATAATAAAATATTATTCACGCATGATAATGAAATCTTTATAATCTTTACCTAATATTTTCTCTGTTGGTTTTTAGTAGTTATAGTTTAACTTTTTAATTTTCAAAACATGAATTTTATATGAAAATTTAATAACTTATATGAATAACAATTGAAAAGTTTTTTTTTTTTTTTACATAACATTCCCATTAAGTATTTTCATTTGATCAAAAAATTTCAATTATCATTTATATAATATATTAAATTTTCATCTTAAATTCATACCTAAAATGTCAAAAAATCAAATTAAGACTACTAAAAATGAACAAAGATAGTAGTAACTATGATTTGCTCTTTTTACTCAGTGAGATGCATATCTAAATTAATTTGTTATCTTTATTAATTAATTACATGAATATTATAAGATTTTCTTATAAGAGAAAACATGTTTTTATGAATTAACCCTATTGTAATGGAAGTTTAATATATGCATGGTTTGGAAAATTTTTTGGACTTTTTTTTATATATTTTATAGTATGTTTAATATGAAATAAAGAGAAAGATTATAGTATGTTTAATTTGAAAAAAATAAAAAGATAAATTTTTTAATCAATTAAATTATAATATTTTTAAATATTATAATTTAATTATTAATTAAATTAAACATGCTACTATCTTGTGGATCGGAGGTTAACGGGAAAGAGTGATGGGGTTTGGGCTGGGCTCATGCGGTTCAAAACAGAAACTGTTGGTTCGGCTCATGTTGTTTCGGGCTGGAAGATATCAGATTGTGGGTTGAAAATCGAGGCCCAAAAACCGCAAAACCAAAGAGCAGGCTTAGTAAAATGCAGCCCATTAAATATAAATTTTTAATTTTTAATTTTTTACTTTATATATCATTGTAATGTAATATAAACCGTTAGATTTGATCAACTTAATTTTAAACCGTTAGATCTAACTTTAAGGTAAACAATTTATTTTTCTCATTTTATTCCACTCTCTCAATCTCACAAACTGCAAAACCCTAATTCTACCCAACAAAAACCCTAATTTCGGGAAGAACAGTAATCGAGCATCCATGGCGAACTCCACGATCTCTCTCGAGAAGGTGAAGTCCTTCTGGCATTCTATGGTTCACGACGAGGAGAAGTGGGCCGTTAACGTGGTAAGGGTTCTCTTCAATCCTCTCGATTTCCATTTAATCCATCAATTTCGTATCCTAGGGATTTCCTGTTCCATCAAATTGAGTGATTTCTCGACTCGACTCGACTCCAAATATATGGATTCAGTATTTAGAATTTATTTATGTTGTTCTAATCTTGTTATATAGCCTTTGTAGAGTCTAATTTTGCTTAATTGTTCTCTTTAATTTTATCTGTTGATGTAGAAACTGCTGCGTGCCACTGCACTATTTGCGGGATCAGTTTTTCTGATGCGCAACTATGGGGATTTGATGGCAATATGAAGATGGATCTTTGTGGTTTTCATCCTTTCTACAGATATTGTGGATGGAATTTATGATTTTAGTAGCAATTATGAGTAATTCACTTCCATTGAGACCATTGTGATGTGAATGAAGCAGTAATCTTTTAAAAATTGAGTCTTTGTTTTATTCTTGTAGATGTTGGGCATTCATTATTGTTTTGTGATGTTTAGATTAAATGCCCTTATAATTGGGGATCAGACATTAGGATCTCGATATAAAGTGTTACGAATTTGGTTGATCATGTCATTCTAATTGCAGCTCTTGCATTCTATTCTATTTATGTTGTCTACATGACCATGTGAAGGTAAATTATTTTACAACTATTGGTTGGCAAACATCATTGTAACCTTACAAAGGTGAAGTGAATGTCCGAGTAGAAGGAGTTTGGTTTCTAGTATGGTTTCGAGTTTAACTCTTGTGAATTGAGAAATAGGTGTTGGGGGAGCTTTCCCATAAGGGGCTTGACTCCAAATTAGTCATGTTTAATATGGCTTTTGAATAATGAGATGTTAGTACTAAACATAAAGAGTGAAGGTGTTTTGAAATTAGGAGTGATGGATTGAAGTGCACTGGGATTCCATATTTATATGGTCTTTGTTAGAATGACCGATGGATTAGCATTTTTGAATCTAGGAGTTTAGAGGGTGCTCTTCGCCAATGGGTAATGACAAACTTTACTAGTGCTATGAGCTTGAGACAACAATGATATGTCATGGTTCCTGAAGCTGCATCTCCGTTCCTTTGAAAACTTTGGTTTCACTTTTGTCAATATGGAACTGTAGGAGCGTTTTTGGTTTGAGGGAATGAGTGGGGAGTGGCTTTTCCTTCTAAGTTGTACTTTAATTTCTTTTGTCAATTTTAGTATATTCAAAATGAAGGAAATGGATGGATAATGTTTCCTCTTGCTTTCCTTCAAATCAAATATACTCTAGGGATTCTTTACGGATATGCTTCCTTCTAAGACAGGATTGTTTGGACTGGATCAAGTTGTTGGAGCAATCTGGTTAACATAAACTTGACATTAATATCCACATGATAAGAT